AATGCTCTGTAATGTAGGTTTTCTAGTTATGAATTCTTTTCATTTTTGTTTATCATGGATTTTTAAAATTTAATCTTCAAATCTGAAACTTACTTTTGCTGGATATAAAATTCTTGATTGGCATCCATGTTCTTTCAGAGCTTGAAATATATTATTCCTCAAAGCTAGGAATAATATATTCCTAGCTTTGAGGGTCTGGGTTGAGAAATCAATTGAAATCTGAATTGGTTTCCCCCTATACGTAATTTGATTTTCTTTCCCTTCTCATAGCCTTTAAGATTTTATCTTTATTCTGTTGTTAGTCATTCTCATTATAATGTGTCTAGGTGTGGGGTTTTTTGTAATTTTGTATATTTGTACTCTTGTGTTTGACTTTCCATTCTATTCTTTAGGTTTGGGAAATTTTCTGCTATTTTATCATTGAAAAGCTTGTGCATTCCTTTGGTTTGTATCTCTGCTCCTTCATCTATTCTGATAACTCTTAAATTTGGTCTTTTCATATTATCCCATAATTCTTGGATGTTCTGTTCATGGTTTCGTACCATCTTCTCTGCATGGTCAACTCTACTTTCAAGATTATATTTTGTCTTCATTGTCTGACATTCTGTCTTCCAAGTGGTCTAATCTGTTGTTGATGCTTTCTATTGAATTTATAATTTTGGTTACTGATTCCTTCATTTTGAAGATTTCTGCTTTTTTTTCCCACAATCTCTAACTCTTTATTGAAGTGGTCTTTCACTTCCTATATTTTTTCTTTGATTTCACTCCTTATACTATTCTTTACTTCACACATCAATTTAACTATGTACTATCTGAACTCCTTCTTGGAGATTTTTTTCTACTGTGTTATGAGTGGTTTCTGTTGCTGAAGCATCTTGGTTTGTTTGGGGCACTTTATTCCCTTGTTTTTTCATGTTGTTAGTGTGTTTTCCCATCTAGAAGTATGGATCTACAGTGCTGGGGCTGTAGCTCAGTGGTAGAGTGCTTGCCTTGGGCGAGGAGGCACTTGGTTTGATCCTCAGCACCACATAAAAAATACACAAATAAAATAAAGGCATGCTGTCCATCTACAACTACAAAAAAGTATGGATCTAAGTCAGGATAAATTCTACCCTATAGACCCATGGTGTCCCTGAAGGTTTCTAGCACTTCGCCTTTACTGGTGAGACCAGTATCAACAGCACCCAGTGTAAACAATATATAGCCTTAATCTTAACAGCTCCCACTAAGGTGTCTGCTGCTTCTCGTATTAAACCAAAATGATGAGTACAATAATTATCTATAGTACAATCAGAAAATTTGTTAAAACGGTTTAGAATTTCAAATGGTGGATGAGACAACAGAGGTAGTACAGTATGCGATATTTGCAAGGGAGGAAGAGAGAAACTAGAAATAAAAATTCACAGGAAGGGTGGAAGAGGAGATGACAGAGATTGACTGTTCGTTGGAGCAATGTTGGAAAGAAAACAGACAAGATAGGGGAAGAATATAAACAAAGAGAAAAAATTATAGACACACGAATACAACAAAAATGCAAAACACCATTCATATATCATTGTCCTCCACACACTGATGCATAAAAAACATCCTGTTCCAAATATGGCAGAGAGATTAGCAAATCGAAAAATAAAATAAAATAAATCTTGCTGGAATGTTGAACTGTCTCTGTCAGCGTTCACCAGTTTCTCAGCCCTGTCTCTGATGTCTCTTGGGATCACCGAACCCAGATCAGCCCTCACAAACCCATTTCTTTATCCCACCAATCTGGGCTTCAGATACCTCAGGCTCAGCCAGGCTGCAGTCCCAAGATCTCAATGCTGCTCCTACTTGCAGAGAGACCACCAGGGATACACTCATGCAAAGGCGCAATCCTGAGATGCAGCAGCAAGATAACAGCCACCAGCACTCCCCACAGAAATACCTCAGGCTCCTCCAAATCCACAGGCACCCCCATACTGGACCTGCAAGTCCCTGCTGGAGTCCCCAGACTCCAGGTTACCACTCATGTGGTGGTAAACCTGCTGGCACCCGGGCCCCAGGCCCTGGCTGGTGTCCCTTAATGGGTGCAACCAACCTGGAGTATCCCCAGAAGCAGTCCTCTAGGCTGGGGTAGCAGCGATATTGGCGGTGGTTGTTGGCAGCAGGCAGCGCAGCTGCAGGGGCACATGCAGTTGCAACTGTTGGGACAGCATCACCAGGCCATCTCCGGGGGTCAACAGCAGTGTCGGCTCTAGTTGCATCTGAGCCAACAGTGTCTTCTGTGGCAGCAACACCCAAAAAGAAGACCTCCAGGCGACCTCAGGCTGGCAGCAATGGAATCAGAAGCAGCACCAATGGGGTAGGGGCGCAGGCGGCAGTTGATTTCTGGTTCAGCAGCAGAGACCATGGAGGTAGCTTCAGAAGTAGCCTTAGAGGTAACCGAGGCAACCAAGTCGGGCCTCCGCAGCAGCGGTGGCAGTGGCACCTGCAACCGCAGCACCTACCAGATGTATTTTCTTTTTAAAATATAAATTATTTCCCCTTATAGACCAAAAGATCATGAATTTCAAGCTATATTGTCATAATGGGTGCAACTACGTGCAACCATCCTGCAGTATCCCCAGAAGCAGTTTATGCTTGGGTTTTTAATACACTGACTTTTTTTTTTTTTTCCAAATCAATTGAGACTCAACTATAGCTCTTAATCCAACGATTGGCAGTCTTAAGACTCTATGTGTTAAGAAGGTCATTTTCTAGCAAGGACTTCTCTTAACTCCCCTAAATAGGATATAGGTTTCTAATTTAGTATTTTCTTTATATATTTGTGTTGCTCATGGGACATGTTACAGGACGTCTCTGCTTTGATATTGTTTTTCCTGCTTCACAGGATTCAAAACACAGGGTGGAGATTTTTCAATTTTGATTTACTTTTAATATTGGTCAATTTTTCAAAGATAAAAGCCCAGCATTCTTTCATTCACACTGAATCTAATCCATGAGAAACAGATGTATCACAGGATTTCCTTCCTCCCTTCTTAACAGAGAAAGGAAGGTGGCACTTCTGTCAGATTCAGTCTCTAAGTTTATTTTTTCTCTTTTGAACCAGTTGTGCTGAGCTGCTTCATGGCTCTGAGTATTGACTCCAAGAATATCAAACTTCTCCTTTGTAACCCTAATATTGTGATTTTAAATAAAGATTTTCTAGATGTTTGGTATAAAAGAGGATTTCTAATGGCATTGGAACTGTCCTTGAATCACCTGAAACAATAACATCAAAGGAATACATACACAAGTTTTATAAAATTCTAGAATGTTTAGACTAAAAACAATTCCAGGAGAGACCTGGAATTCTAGGTCTCTTCACATACTCCTAGGCTAGCTTCACATACAGATTTCATTTCCCAGAATTTTCCCAAAGAGGCTTGGGAAATCTCAGCCCAGGTTCCCTAGAAATTAGGCAAATGTTCCCAAGGGCAAAGTGGCTTCAGCTCTCCACTTTACCTTTATGGCTAATTTTCACTTAGATTTTGTCTTGCAATTCCTTGCAATCCTGTCAGTTCTTTAAATGTCATACTGCCAGAACCAGAATACCATTCATTCTTAGGGATAAAGGTGGATGGAGGGGTGTTTTTTTTTTTTTTAAATAATAAGCAATTCAAACACAAAATACATGCAAAAATAACATGGTTGACATCAGTGTACCCACTTGCATCAATTACATGCTAATTTTTTCTTACCTAATTAGATTCCAGTATCTCTTTCAGACAGATAGTTGATTTTTTTTCACTTTTTCATCAATATAAATACCTTTCTTTGTATATGTTGCCTTGGGAACATGTGCAAAATGGGCAACAAAAAAGAAGGGATGAGTGGTAGGCTATATTTGAAACATTTTTTTTAATTCACATCATGGAATACTCTATAGAGTTTAAAGGAGCTAAATCTACACATATCAAACAGGAAAACCTCAGAAATACAATGAATGATAAAACAAGTTCGAAAAATATACAGAAAAATACCATTCTATAAAAATTTTAGATACACAAAACAATAATATATATATTGTTTATGATTGTATACATTTGTAGTAAAAAATAGTAAAACCATCCTTAGGGTACTGGTAGAGTTGGGAACTCAATTCAAACCAAAGCTTCATTCCATTCTACCATGTGGCCACTGTCTCTGTGTCCAGTGGGTGTCCCCAGGTGCTGGGTCTTCCTTGTGTCCACACTTGCAACTCGACAGTTTGAAATTTGCTTTTCTCATGGAACTTCATTGGTTCTCCTAGAGGTCATTTTCCCCCACCCCTTCAATTTAGTACTTTGAAGCTATAATATAGTACATGCCCTGGTAAAACCTTCTCATTATCCTTAATATGCTTGGTCTTGTCCTATATACTGTGCTAGATTCTTCAATCTCAAATCCATTCTTTTGAAATAAGATCTTAGATTGTTCTTTTGTTGATTAGTTTGACTATTGAAACCTGGTTCTAAAGTTTACAGCTCTGCCTTACTGCCTCTAAAGCCCACCTACTTCAAGGATTGCGGTTCATATAACTGGATCCAAAAATGTTGCCTATTTTTTTTTTTTAAGTCAGTAAAATGGCACCAGCTACTGCTATGCTTATAGAAGAGATAAAGGAGACTTCTTCAGGACTTTTCCCTGTACCCTCCAAAGAGGAACTTATTATAAAAGAATCTCACAAGATTTCTGCTCTTAAAAATCATTAAAATAGATTAGAAAATTATCAGTATAAAGTGGTATGGAATAATGTAGCTAGAATTCAAAATTCTTTTGAATTTTAAGATTCTAAAATTCAAGTTTTTGCTTAAAAGGGATTGAAGAATGTTTATATCCTAGATGGATAATATAAGACAATTTTATTTGTAGTGTGTGCTTTAATAGCTATTTACTGCTAACACTGGTTTATCTAAGCATGTTAACATATAAAGTTTCATAAATCATGTTCTGCATAGTAATATTAGTGAGCACTAAAAAATTTTATGGCCTTCTATTTTCAGGTGTAAACTTCCTGCTTTGGGGCAATTTGCCAGAGATAGAAGAGAGTACAGATGAAGATGTGTTAGATATCTCAGCAGAGGAGTGTATTCGATGAATGGAATTATGACATATGTGTAATTTTTTTTCATATTTAAAATATGTTAATGGATCAACTTTAAAACTGTAGTGAGGATTTACTACTGATTTTCTCTCCTCCTCCCTTTCTTTCTTCTCTTTTAAAACAAAAAGGGGCATTTGTTGATTTATTTATTCGCTATCTCAAATTAATTACCTCAGTTTAATTTAAGCCAATGAAGTTATTCTTTCCTTCTACTTTTACTTCTTCCTCTCCTCTACTACTTCTGTCTGGTATAAGTGTATTCTTAATTTCAGTTAAAAGATTCTTTTTACATGTCACCCAGCTACCTCCCGATCTAAAGAAGTTTTTCTTACAGCTTGATGCCAGATATCATTGATTTTTACATTCCTGACTAAAGGGCATTAGTATCCACTCATATCAAATACACATGTATCAGACTCATCTAAGTATTAAGAGGGAGTTAAAAAAAAAGCAAGCTATTAGGTTTCCATGAGTACTGGTTAGCATATGTGATAACTGTTTTAATGTGAAGCAAAACTTATGAATCAGCTTATAGAATAAATTAAAACTTTAAAATATATGGAAAAATCTTTTTGATCCGTTGGCATGTTGTTAGATAAATGAGTTTTTTTAAAAATTATCAATATATACTGTTTACTGATGTTATTTATTTACATTCTCCTAAAGCCATTATGGATATTGTATTATGAAAGCCAGATAAACTAAACCTTAGTCTTTATGTTTTCCTATTCCCTAGGGCTTTTTCTATGAATAGCAAATTTTAGATGGGTAGTGTTTGTCCAAACCCTAATATGGAAAGAAGCTTAAGCCACTGTATATTATAAAGAATTTTTTTTCATTGTTTGTTGTTTTTAAAAATTGTATTCAGAGCCACACAGAAATAGGAAACTGGGATAATGTGGATTCTGGTTTTATGTAAAGCTAAAATCAATGTGTCTCCTTAACTAATATCTTAGTTGCAGGAATTTTGTCAATAATGGTACCAAAGAAGACTTAATTGGAGTTTTGTAAATAAAGTTGGTTCTAAAAATGACCGTCCTTTCTTTAATTTTTTTATTGTAACCACTTATCATACCCCAAAATATAGAGGGACAGTATATACAATCTAGAATATAAGGGCTAATGTTTATTGAGTACTGACTCTGTGCCAGACACTAATCTAAGTGCTTTCCATATTTAATTCACATATTCCACAAATAAACCCGTGAGATAGGTACTATTATTATTTATTTTTCACTGATAAAACAGGTGAGACATACATAAAGTAACTTATCTGAGGTCATATAACCGGTCAGAGGTGTGGACAGACTCAGACAGACTGACTCCATAACTCCCACTCCTAATCTTCATGCTGAATCCTCTGAGCACCTCCAGACATGAATCAGTGATGGTCATACTTAGCCAGAATGCATGCTGGGTAATTAACTACATTGTTATGTTCTAAATGAGGCCAGAAATGATGGATTTTAAGGTTGAACAAATTTCAGTTTACTTGGTCTTAGGATAAAAGTGATCTGTAGGTACTGACAGAATCATTTGCTATAAACCAGGATAAAAAGGTGCTTCAGGAAATGCTGTCACTAACACCCGTAGAACTTTTCCACAAGTCTTTCACACTAACCACCAGAACTAACAGAAGTTCATCCAAAGAGCCAAAGGAAAGAGTGTGAAAAAATTGGTTTTCAGATTTAACTTTTTTTTTTCCAACCTCTCAAATTCTTATTCTTCTGGAATAAGGTGGGCATATGGATAAGAAGAAAAAAAGATAAGCATTTCCAGGCAACAATAGGTGATTCATGCCTATTATCCCAGTGCCTTGGGAGGCCGAGGCAGGAGGATCCCAAGTTGAAGACCAACCTCAGCAATTTAGTAGTGAGAGGCCCTGTCTCAAAATAAAAATCTAAAAAAGGGCTGGGGATAAGCCAGTGGTAAAGCACCCCTGGGTTTAATCTCTAGTACTGGCAAGGAGTGAGAAGTATTGTATTACACACTATATATTTCTTTTTTTAATTAAAACTTTTATACACTATATATTTCTTTGTTAACTTGTTCAAGTAGAGCAGAGAAGTGTAATGCTAGAGCAAAGAACATGGCAAGGCTAAAATTCAATAGAGTTCATCTGCTTCCTGTTCAGCTCATGCCTTCAAAGGCCATGGTTTATGGATGGGCTCTCTGAAGAGCAAAAGCAAAATAGAGGTGCATGGATTAAAGCAAGCCCCCAAAGTGATTCCACTTCAGCTGGACAATGTTTCAAATTACACAGCTACTTGTAGCTAACTGGGATATAGGAAAGTCAATTTTAAATAGAAAATGGCTGATAAATTTTTATCTAGGGAAATATATTCATGACACTGTTTTTTAATAAAGGCAAATGACACACCCTCTAGTAATACCAAAAGCAGAATCATTGAGCATACACTTTCTAGTCCTACCATAATTCCTGGGCCTAGGAAATTCACCTATGCTTTGGTTGTCTTTTAATATTTGATTCAATTCAACAAGCCTGTATTATTTCTCCTACAGTCTGGTAAGAATTGCTGCTCACACTTGATTTCAGGGAGCATGCAGTATGTTGGGGGAGAGGATCTAATTCATTGAATCAAGTGGTTTAACAAAGGCATACTTAAAGTGCTGTGACTCCATAGATGAAAGAACAATCTTTCTGAGTAATAAGAGAGAGTAGGAGTTGAGAAAGCTAAACAGAAAAAATGATACTTGAGACAGGCTTTGAAGCCCAGGGGTTTGCCAGCTGGGAAAAGAGCTTTGGGCAGAGAGAGCAGTGTAAACAAATAGATGGAGTTTATATCTTGCATATTTGGGAAATTCTAAGCAGTCCCCCACATCTTCCAAAATAAATATGAAGAATTAATTAGAAGATAAAACTAACAAGGAAGGTTAGGATCGTTGTGTGAAGATTATTCTATGCCATTGTAGGTTTAGACTTCATCTAGGAGCAATGTAGTTATTGAAGTTTTGAGCAAGGGAACAAAATGATCAGATTTAAGACAATAGCTCTAATAAAATATAATCAAGTTTAGTTTTCCTAATATCCTTTCTTTGGTGCACCTAACAACTTCACCATGGACATTTGATTTATTGCCTTTACTCTAAGAACCCATGTAATTCTTTAAGTTCTATGAATTTCTCATCTTTCTTGGAACCTCTGGTCTGTCATAGGGCAGTGCTTCCCCCCAACCCCCACCTTCCTTCTCATCATTCCTGAAGTTCAAGGCAGGGGCAGTGAGTCATCAATTCACCCGCCATGACTTTTTCTGCTACTTGATCTTTTTCCTCAGGTCAGTTGACTCAGGCTCTGTTGAGCCATCTTGTGTGGAGCCTAATCTTAAAGCTGTAATATTTTGAATAATCCCAGGTGAAAACCAGGTCCTTAAATATTAGTAATTCAGGGAGATTGTTCTACAAAGAACCATTCCTTTGACCTCTGAGTCATATGTGGCTGATTAAGAATAATCTATATTTGCTTTCCTTTGGTAAGGAGGAAGTGACCATGACATATAAACCGAGATATAGAAAACAACTAACTATTCGAACACAAATAGGGAGTGGGGGAAGGTAGGGGAGGATATGGATCGAATAGTCTTGCTTCACTGGTGAATTACTCGATGAAGGCTCTCTCTATTTTAACATTCATGCTTATAAAAGGAAATAGTTTCCTTTTCTGCCTTTTTTTTTTTAACTTTAAAAGCAGCCTAAACCATAGTTTCTTTCTTGCCTGGTATTGAGTGTATGCCAAATCTACCCTAAACTGCACAGATGGAAAAAATTAGTCTATGTCTGTGGTACCTCTGGGGTTGAATATTTTTAGTACTTAAATCTTTAGCTAAAGATTCTTTCTTCCAACACTCTCAAAGAATCTTTTTATTGTCATCCAGTGAACAAGCTCACTGAAAGGAAAATTAGCAATATCATGATTTTGTTTAACCCTTTATAGTTTATTGTAAGCTTTTGCATCCTCTTTAATTTAGTGGGCAGAATAACCTTAGGCGCTATCATTCCCATTTTACAAATTAAGAAAGAAAATCTTAATTCTAACACCCCCAAAGTTAGAAGGATTCAAACTTTAATCCATCTTCTCATCTTAGTTGAGGCATCTCTCCTACCTCTATAAGTGGCCCTTAAATTGAGATTTATTTTTCCCTCAACAGATAAAAGAGAACAAATTTTCTTTGACTTTCAAACTCAGAGCCCATCTATTTTCATTAATTAATCCATTTGACAAATATTTATTGAGTACCAACTATGTACAAAATAAATGCTAGGAATACAGAACTAAATAAGACAAACTCCCTGCTCTCATGTAGAACTGACATTCTAGTTGAGGGGAAGGAAAAAAGTGAGGTAACATTTACTGTGCTCACTATGTGCAGCCATTGTTCTAAAAGTTTTACATATAATCCCTACTAGTTCCTGTTATTCCTCACCATAAAAATCAGAAAATTGAGGCTGGAAAAGGTCAAACAACTTTCCTAAACTCACACAGTAAGTAAATGACATCTCTGTAAGATTTGGAGGGGACATAGTTCACTTAATGACTGTGTTTCCTTTGTATTTTTTAGTGTAGTTGTCTTCCATTCAAATAAGGTCAAGTTTTCCATTAGCAATCTTCCTGTACACATCTGTCCCTATTAGTCCTTAGTTGAAATTATTGTTTTAAATTGAATTGGGGACAACAGCCTCTCCCTTTTCAGTAAGGGAGACTCAGTTAAATGATAAGAATGATAAGAATGTAAATGATAAGAATGCTGGCCTTATACACTATGGGGGAAAAAAACCTATAAAGAACTCTTAGTTTACAGGTTTTCTGTACTTCTATCTAGAAACAAAGACATTTTTACAAGTCTAGATTTTTCTTATAGGTGACAACAGTTCACACAAGAGTAAATGTCTATTCTTTAAGGTGTTTGCATATTTCAAAGAAATAGTGAATTAATGCCCACCTTTTACAAATTTCCCCAATCTTTGCTTTCCTTTTA